TGTGTGCCTGTGAAAGTGAGCGGAGTAGAGAGAAAAGCTTTTATAGCTCCCAGAGAAAGACATCGCTGAATTGGGACTGTGCAGTTTTCAAACAACCAGGAGGAGAAATGCCAAAATAAGTTCATCCCTTTTCAAGGTGCTGTCACTGGCAGCTTTCATTGTTCTTCTAAACAACTCTTCTTCTAAAGGAAAAGTTTCTGGTTTTCAGAGATTAAAGCAGTCCTGTCTTCATTCATTGCTTTGGCACTTGACTGATTCTTCCCTAATGGGCAGATTACTTAGGAAGTTTTTGAGCTGTAATTTCAACACGTAGACTAACATGCTGACTCTTTGGTGATAACATAGTTTTAAAAAATGACACATAGCATCAGCACAATTATCTCCCTGGGGTGTTTTTTTTTCAAGCTGGAAGATGGAAGTGAAAGGGGAGGCAGCAGCATCTGACTGGAGCTTGTACCTCGGTTCTAGATGACAAATTGGCCCTGTTGCAAATTCTTTTTTCAAAAGTCTTTTGTTAGAAAGTTTATTGATAGCCAAAGTCTTACTAAATAGTTCTGCCAGAGTGTGCTTGGAACATGCTGCATTAAACCAATATTTGTGTGTGGCATCTGCAGTGTTTGTCTCACACAGTGACTCTGCCGATGGGACAGCAGCACTGGGGTGGTTCATGAGAGTTTCCCTTGTGGAAACCCTGGGGCATATGTCTGTAAGGCTGAGGATAATGTATCAAAACAACATTATTTCACAAACTGTGGAGCATATTAACACATGAAATCAACAAATCATCTCTAGAAGATTTTCAGTGCCCTTCTGAGAACCAAAAAAAAATAAGGTTTTGCTGCCTTAAGCACCAAATCAGCTAGTTAACTTCTTGCTTTCCAGGAATGAGTAAGTCACTTTAAGTGCCAACCGGGTTTGGTTACAATCAATCAAGGTATTTATTGCTTTCCCCTAAATTGAAGCTCTGTGTACATTTTTCTGACAAATCTGAATTACTTGTTCAGTGTTATTCCTGAAAAGAAGAATCAATGAATGCCAGCAGTTCTCTCTCGTCCAGGTCATTTACTCTTCAGAATCTCTACAATTTCTGTTTTTTAAGGTAAAATTTCTGGTATTTTAAGGTATTGGAAAATGGATAAAGAGGAGACGCTGCTGAGAAACTGGCAGTAATGTATAATCTTTGCTCTCCGAGACATTGGCCATGATGTACTGATGAGCAAAACAAGCTACCAAGTTCCTGCTGAATGAGCCAGGGATGGGATGGCTTTCCAATAGAGCTCTGTAGGTCATACATTGATTGCATCGCCCAAATGTCCCACATTTCCATCTAAAGGCACCACGAGCTTAAGTGGATTTGGTCAAACCTCACATTCAGGCCAAGTTTCCAAACCTGCAGCACGATTTTCACGCTTCTTGGAGAAACCAGGGATACATTACTGTTTGTTACAAGATGCTTTTTAACTCTGCTAAGCAAAACCTCCTTGCATGTGTTGGTTCAGCACAGAAGCAGCATCTGGAGCTGTGCCTGGGCAGCTGTTTGGGGAGTCCCAGCTCCTGTTCAAGGAACGTGGCTGTCTCTTCTGTGCCTGCCTTTCAAATGCCACTGTTTGGTCTTCCTCTTCAGTCACCCAAGATTAGAAATTATTTTCTAAATGGGAAAATTTGTTTTAGGTCTTCTCTCACAGTGCCTGAAACAATTCTTCAGGCTTCTGCTGCACAACTGAAAGGACAAAATTATGATCAGTAAGACTAATTTATTGTAGGTGGAAGTGCAGTTGACAGAGAAAAACAGCAATTTACATTTTCCAGAATGAAAGGGATTCCAGGAGGATGTTGTTGGCTTTCTTCAATCCCTGGTTTCCTACCAGCATTAGGATTTCATGTCCATCAAATGCTAGTGAGATTTTAATGCTGCTTTGCTGTCTCTTATATTTAGCAGTTTCCAGCCATTGGTCTTCATAGAGCCAACCCTAAACCCATCATTTTCACAACCCAAAGTCACCCTCAAGCTTCAGAAATTTGGGTAAAACATTCCAAATGTCTCAAGCTGTGATTCTGTTTGACTTTCTATATTACCTACACATGAGGCCCATCCCTTTCATCAGACACTGACTCTGGTGTGCACCTTTTCCATGGAAAGCTTCCTGCATTTATTTGAAACTCCAGAGAGTGCCAGTAAATTTCCTGGAGACTGCTTGGTATGACTATGAGGTGGCAGCATGGTCTGGTGGTGAGGAGGAGCAGCTCTGAAGATGTGTTTTCTTTTCTGCCATGCTGCTGAGGAACCTGGAACCAGAGACTGCATCTTTCCATACCTGCACTCCCCTCACATGCTGCTTCTTCAGGCTTTGGTGTCTGCTTTTTGGGCTTTAGCTGGCAATTCCCTGTGGGGTTTGTACAGGACCTGGCATGCTGGGATCCCTGACTCACTTGGTTTCTTTTAGGCATTGCTATAATATAAACCAGCTGCACTAATATTTTAGCTGTAGGGAGAAATGTACTGGTTTGATGTGTGCTGTGTAGAAGAAAGAGAAAGCTACTGCCCCTAGCCCAAAAATGTGAGTAGCATAGCAAACATGTTAGTGATCTCCCAGAAATTTTAAATGAGATGGATTCTGCCACTGCTTTCATTGCACTGTGGGCTTTTAAAAGATTCTCGTCTCAGTGAAGCTTCAGACTGATCTGCTGAGGAGAGCTGGTGAGCTCTGAAAATAAGGCTGAGTCCTGGTGATGAGTTTTAGAGCAAGATTTTTCAAGGAGGGCATGTTTTGAAAGGGGAGGATAAATGGTCTGAAAGATCTGTAAGAGTCAAAGCACTGCAGCTTCATGGAAGGGCTTTATAGAAAGGCCAGATAGATGAGGGAAAAGGGTAAATAACCAGCAGAATAAAAAGATTGGTGCAGTGTGGCTTAACAGCAGCCCTAGCAGGGAGGTAGCAGCAGTCTCCAGGTGTGCAAGGCGTTCCTCACACAGGGATCCTGCTGCTGTGTCTGCAGCAATGTGATCCCTGCACTGCAGCTGGAATGGTGCTGGCAGCCAGGATGAGGAGCTGTGAGCTCTGCTTGACCTTGGCAAGGGAGACAGGGCCCTTCCCAGCTGGTCAGAAGCACCAGCAGCTGCCCAAGGAAAACTGGGATCCACAGCTGACACTGGAGCATCCTCCTACCAGCCAGAGTAAGCCCTGTTGCAAACTTTGGAGTTGAATCCCCTCCCTTGAAAGACAAACACGAGAGTGAAGAGTGCCCTGACCTGTCTGGAGGAATCCTGAAGTGCAAATAGCAGGAGAAGGTAACGAGCTGAGTGCAAAAGCGGGTTTGTAAATGCCAGTGTGTGCTGGGGAAAATACATCTCATGAGCTGGTGTTGCAGCTGTCTTCCTTCTCCCTCTGTTTGATATCTCCAAGATGCTGCTTGTGTCCTTCAGGTCTTACCTGAATTTCTCTCGATCAAGGCTGATGCTGGGATTCTTCTTTTGGCCTGAGTTGCCTGATTGGTAATTAAGGGAGATTTGTCTCAGCCTGGCTATGGAAATGAGGCCACAAAGCCATGTTGCTGTGGGACTGCAGGGCAGTGCTGCCCTCCCAGGTGTTCCTGAGGTCCCTGAAGGGAGGTTTGGGCAGCAGGAGAATGTGCATCACCTGCTCAGTGTGTGGCCAAGGGTTGGGAGGCCACACAGTCCTGACTGTGGGGAGGGGGACCTGAGGTTTCCATGCCTGACTCTTCCCAGCTTCCTGGAGTGAGCTCTTGGACCAGGGCAGAGCTCTGGGAGTTCCTCCCACCCCTTCCTGGCCTGGGAGGAACATACACGTGTGATCTCCTTTCTCTGTAACTTGCTCTTACACTGTGGAACAGTGACTCTCTCCCCAGGCTCTGGGGCAGTGAGTTCAGCACTTCACTGCCTGATGAAGAGCTTCACATTATGAGAATAGAGAGTATTTTCAACAAAAGATGTTTGGGAGTGGGATCTTCTGGGGTCTCTTACCAGCAATGACCAGCAATGCAGGATGAAGTTGCTCAGTCCCTGCTCCGGTTTGCATGGAAAAAAACTCCACATAAAGTTCTATCACGTCTTTAATGGAAATGAAATGATAAAATTGTGATAACACCTACCTCATGCTGCTCTTGAGGGTTAATTAATGTTTACAAAATCACTTTAGGTACCAAGATTTAATTGAAGGAAAAATATTACCATATAAAATAGCTTTTTATGCAGGTACTGCTATAGGGTTTCAGCTGGGCAGAGTGCCATGGCAGCCAGCGTTAGCACATGTTTTACTACATTTATGGTTGTGAGGCTTCCTGTAGTTTATATGAAAATTGTCTCTCTGAAATCACAAATGAAACATCAGTGTTTTTCTCTCTCTTTGAAAGAATATTAATTTGCCATCTTAGGGCTTGACTGACTATTTAAGCTGCTGTAAATACAACTCTCCTTTGAGAAAAAAATGAATGGAATATCTGTTCCCTTGCTTGGGATGAGCTGATACAACTTGCTAATGACTCCACCTTTGGATGCCATGGATGTTGCTGGCTCATATGAGCAATAAATCAGGCTGGCACTGGGTGTCCTGCTGCAGTTTAAGGGTGTGTTTGGGTGTTCATTATAATCTCCTGCTATCAAGAGATTTTAAATACAGCTATAAAACTTCATTTCTGGAGTTAAATCTGACTGTGGAAGTATCAGCCAGGGAATGAGTTCTGTTAAGTGGGTGTTTTGGTGGGTTTTTCTGGTTTGGTTATTTTTTGTTTGTTTGTTGTTTCTTTGCTTTGTTTCAACCCTTGTTTCAGGATTTTTTTAAAAAATGGAATGGCAAGCGAAGGAGAAACAACACTGGGTTTGGCTGCCTCCAACTGTCGTAATAAAACCTTGTCACTGCATAAATGTCACCTCATTTCTGCTGTAACATTTTTTAATTTCACAGAGTGGTACAGGCTGGGTGAACTTGGAGGTTGGATTGGTTACTCAATGTGCTTTTGTTTGTTTTTTTTTCTGCCACCCAGGGTGACTACGACCCCAGCAGAACCAAAGTTCTCCATTTCAGCATGAACCCGCTGAGTTTGGCCAAGCAGCAGCGCAAGGAGGAGCAGCAGCAGCTGCAGGAGGAGTGTGAAAGGCTGCGGGAGCTGGTGCGGGTGCTCAAAGGAGGCGGCTCCGTCTCCGGCAATCTGGAAGGAGTTGGGGGTTTTCAGTCCCCACAAGAAGTTGCAGGTAGGCTGCTGGCTTCTGGTCCTGGGCATGCATTTATTCATCTGTGTTGCCAGAGGAACTGAGTGCAGAAGCAGATGGAGGCATTGCAGACAGTGTGCTTGATGGAGTGGTTATGTGGAAAGTGAAAAAAGCTGGGTTGATGCAGGAGAGAGTGGATGTGTGGTGGCAATCCTGTGGCAGTGTGGTAGAGGGTGGGTGGTAAGGCTAAATAATAATAATTCATATCATTTACTCGTGATGAGTGAAATATCAGTACAATGGCCTTCATAGGCTGGTGCTGGCGACAGAGTGAAAGGAAATATTTCCTTCCTTTCAGGCTGGTTTAGCCCTTGAGGTAGTACAGACAGCAGGAAATAACTTTCATAGCTGCAGGGACTCAAGTGGTTGAAATCTTTTCAGACCTGACTTAAAACAAATTAATATTGTTTATCAGTGTATATGTGCCCCATTAATCACAGCTGCATTCAATACTCCATGAAAGCAGAATACATCTTTCACTGAGCTAAATACATTTCATGGAATCTGTGGCACTCCAGTGCAGTCTGTCTTCCTTTCACACACCTGAGTGAGACTGTGAGTACAGCAACCCCAAAAATCAGCACCTCCAGACATACTCTCAGACTGAAAATAGAGGTAATATCAATGAAGCTTAACCCATCACCTGTAACACTGGGAGGGATCAGGCAGAATCAACTTATGCTGAAAAGCCCAGGAGAAGTTAGAGCTGTAACTCTCTCATGGCCTCAAAACAACTTGTTAGAGAAGAGAAAAATGAAAGAGAACTGAAGGTCTGTGTGGGGCAAACCTGGTGTGTTCCAACTGCACGTACATGGTCAGTCTGGAGGTCAGGATCCTCCCTCAGACGAGACTGAAAGAGCAGAGCTTTTCCCAAAGGTCTCAAGTGCTGGAAGTGTCATGCCCACAAAAGGACAGAGCCCTGGTTTAAAGAAAATGCAGAAAAGAAACCATTTTTCTCTGTTATGAAACTGAAATGATCAGAAAGTAGCTTCTCTGTTTTCCCATCGCTCAAACAATGGCACTTCATTACTGCTGAGAACGTTTGTTCCAGCATCTCATAGTGGATTATGGTGCTATATAGCCTTAAAAATGTGATGGTGAGAAGTGCAGATAGGGTGGTTTATAAAGTGAAGAGCTCACTGCATGTTACAGGTAAGTGACAGTTCTGTCACTCCTGTTAGTGGATGCTCTAACAGATGCATAAGCATGAAACACTTGGCAAACATTTAAAAAGACAATTGTCTGTAGGAGCTTCCAGTCTCAGACCCCCAGTGGGCAGTTCTTGGGGATAGCTCTTGCATTGCAATTTGAATTTGAAATGCACTGTGTTTTAGGTGTTTAAATTGCAGCAGATGCAGCTGCCCAGTGCCCTTGTCTGTCCTCATCCCCGGGTCCCAGGCACATCTGATGCTGCAGGTCCAGGGGCTGACAGTGCCCAGGGAGGGCAGAGGCTGCAGAGGTGGGGTCAGCCCCGTGTCTCTGTCGCTGATGGATGAACCTCTGGGGTATCATCTGCAGTAATGAGACCATCTCTCCTGGGGGAATGTGTTCCTCACGTGTGCCTCCTGTCATGTGTTAGAATTACTATTTTGCTGCCTTTCCATGCTGCTGCTTTTAGCTCTTTGTGAGGTGCTTCTGTGCTGGGATGTTACCAGGTTTGTTGTTAGCTCAGAAGGGATGCATTTTTAAAGCTGTTTTCTCTTCTGCCTTTGATTCCAACAGGAAAACAAACACCTCACTGGGTTTCAGGGTATTTCCAGCCTCGTGTATGTGATGCTTTTTTTTTCCTTTTACCCCAGTTCCAAGCGACATCATTCTGGCTTCTGGTAACTAGCTCAGATGGAAGAGAGCATCAGGTTCAGAACTTAGAAGGGTGGGAAGTACTTCAGTGTCATTTACCAAAGTCACAGAAGAGCCCTTTGGATTCTCAGAGTGCCTATAAGTGCATCTGGAAGTGGTTCTTGTAAACAAAATGGGAAAAAGCTGTTGAAGGCTGGAGCAGCCCTGTGGATGACTCTCTTTAAGGACAGGGTGAAGGTATAGGAAGCCAGGTTATGTGGAAAGATCTTGGGCATTTTTTCTTGTAGTTCATGTGCTTGTGTGCATCACTGTCATGCACAGCACACATTGTCACAAATGCACCCAAACTCTCATTCCTGCTGTGGGAGCATTCAGCAGCATAGTCAGATGCAAGTGTTGGGATGTGCAGAGATGCTTGAGGGTGTTACAGTGCTGACCACGAGGTTACTGAGTTATTCTGAGCTGTCTTTAAATTAGCCAGGTGAGTGCCAGATTTGGCCTCCTTGCTGGAGCAGGGAGAGCTCCCAGTGGGTGTGGGGGCAGCTGATCAAGTGTGCTGTGCATCCATTTCTGCATTGACTGCATCTGCAGTGTGGGTACAGCAGCTGTTCTGCAGTGGCTCACCAACACAGATTCATGTGGCCAGCAAACTCACACTGTCTCCCTCTGGATAAGACATGGAAGATCCAGCTTTTGCCATTTTCTTAGCTCAGCCCACAGGAACAGCTGCCACATGCCTTCTGCTTCAGTGTATTTCCAAGGTGTGAAGTGGGGAGCGTGTGGCAGAAACTCCCTCTGCTTTGTTTGTCACTGTCCAATTGGCTACCCCAGGGAGGGAGGTTTGTTGTGCATGGTAAGGGAGCGGATTTCTGTGAGCTTTGTGAAGCTGTTTCTGTACAAAAATAACAAGAATTGGAGCTTTTCTTGCACCCCTCTCTGTCAGCTGCAGTCCCCATCTGTTTATCTTGCTCATTTGTGTGATACATACAAGAGGCAAATTCACTTCTCTGAGCTTTTGAGGTGGGAGGTCCCTGGTGTCAGAGCAGAATGGGGTGAAGGGAGAGCAAGGACAGAGCAGGAAGGGTGTGGATAAAAGCTGGGAGGACAACAGAGGTCATATGTAAGTTTGCATTTTGCCTTTAGACAGATAGAGGTAAATGTAAGATTTTATTGTCCTGTTTTGCCATCTAACCTGACTGGCTGCTTGGTGAGGTGAGGGATTTGGGTGGCCTCCAGCCAGCCAGGTTTGATGCATCCAGCGAGCTTATGTGGTATGCAACAGCTATGCTTATGGTTCACAGAATTATAATTATACCAACCAAAAAAAGCATTAAGGACAATGATGTTGATGGTTTTGATAATAATGTATTGGCCATTGTTAAATCCCTTCATTGGACTGGAATGCAGCACATTTCTTCTGATTGTATTTCCGACTCCTGCATAGGTAATAAGAAAATTATTACTGTGGACGTTAAAGCTCATTAAATGTGACTCTATTAAAAATCAAGGTTATGCTGGACTTTAAATCTCTTTGAGCATAACTGCTGGAGGCTGCAGCACAGCCTGGCAACTTGCCACGTGGTTCAGTGGCCCTTTCCTCTCACTGATGCCACGATAGTCTCTGATCAGATGGGGACCTATGGAGAGCTATAATAACATCCTATCCTTTTCCAAAATGCAGATTGGCAGTGCAGGCTCACGGGGTGTTTGGGGCAGGGCTGTGGGTGCTGTGCTCAGGGCGTGGGCTGGAGCTCTGCGAGTGCTGGTTGCTCTGCTGGGCTGTGTAAGAGCAGGGAGCACCAAGGTCAGACAGCCATCTGGGGAGAGGCTCCAAGTCCTCCTGCCTCGAAAACAGGGAGGCAGATTGTGACAGCTTTGGCAAGGTGGCACAGGACATTGCTGCACAGATCTGAAATCTGTTCCAGTTCTGCATTTCCCTTTCCCATGCTCTTCACACCTTCCCTCCACTGCCCCTTCTGTATTTCAGTTTGTATCATCTCCTTTCTTTCTTCTATCTCCACAGCTTTTCCTATTTTTTTCCCCATTTCTGTTTAGATCTTTCTTTTTTTTTTTTTGCCCTGTGGGGTCCTGGTAGACCTCTTGATTTCTGGCAATGCTAGAGATGGATTTGGGTCTTAGTTGCAAGCAAGTATGTAGGTGGCAGCTAATGGGGAGCTGGAGAAGTAATGACTTGTAACAAAGCATAGGTAGAAATGAGAGAGAATGGTTCAGGTGCTCCTTATCTCCATTTGTGTTTCTATCTTAAAGGTAATGTGTCTGAAGGTAGGAATGGATGATCCATGGAAGCTGGTTCCTGACTAAAAGAATGCAGTAATGTGAATTTTCCATGAGCTCTCATGATTTATTGCTATCCTGTAGCTACACCAGAGCGTTCCTTTCTTCATGCAGCTTCTCCCTGTGAGAAAGAGGAAAAGTGCTTTTAATATTCTTTCTGGTGAGAGAGAGGCTGGCACCCCTACCAGGAAGGAAGATGGGGAAATCAAGTCTGATTTCAACCATCTGGGGAGAACTTTGGAACTGTTTTCCTGAGCATAATCCCACCAAAAAAAAAAAAAATGTTCATCCATCTCAATGGTTTCAGTGTCCTTTTCCCCTTGATAGGGGAAAAGGGGGTCCTAGATGAAGGACTGGGGAATTTCACTCTGAGGCAGGTGTTTTGTCCTAAAACAGATGCTACACCTGGCATTCAGCAGGGGCTGCCCCCAGCATCACAGCCATGCCAGGGCCTTGTAAAATGTATTTAATTGGATTTAAATTGGGTAATGAATTAATATTAAAATAATCTAATCTTGTTGAAATGACAAGCCAGAGATGGTAAAATTTGTCACTGTCCCAGTGTGCTTGTGCTTCTGATGAATGTGTTTCTGAGTACAGAAGGTGGCAAAAAAGGAGCAGATGGAATTTAGAAGTTGCTGTTCGCCATCCACAGTTGTCTGAGCTGTTGGTGCTTGGAAGCCTTGGTGCTTCCTGCCATCTGTGTAAGGAATCCATACATGATGAGGGCTGCACCTGTGAATGAGACCTGAGTCCACCTGCAGGAGGATCCTTCCACGACCTCAGCTGCTGGTGGGTGCACATGTGGAAGTGCAGCCCCCATCCCTCACTTTGTGCCAGTGCTCCCAGCATCCCCTGATCAAATGGGCTTGGGCCAGCTGAGTGCA